GTAGGAAACTCACGATTGGTACTCATTGCTAATAATGTAGCAATGTCATCGTTGTTTGATGACCTGAGGTATTCATCTAAAAAATTTGTTAATACTGCCCTCACAAATCTTTTCAAATTTTTTATTGCGGTACTTTCGACAATCCTCACATAATCATCAACAACATCTGCTACAACTCCATAAGCAAACATCCTTGTGACAGTTGTCATCTTTTGAAGAGAAGACAAACCAGTAATTCCAGTAGCTTCTTTTTTTTTTGGACAAAATATGGATCATAATCTTTCACTATGGATAGAATACGAAGGAAAATGGCTCGATTCATTCGAAACCTTCTTCAGAATAAATTTAGGACATAGATAGGCGGTTCAACAAAATAATCACGATACAGTCTCTCGTGCCCTTGAACTCGATTGCGAAAAATAACTAAATGACATTAAATGGAACCACGATGTACACCAAAGTTTTCCTCACTATTGTGTTTGTTTATTTCCATAGCACAAATTGTTACCATCTCCAGTTCATTATCAGAGTTAGAATCGTTAAGAATCATCTTCATTGTAGAATGGCAAGCCATAACATAAACACAGAGAATAGTGCAATACTAATAAATAGATTTGAGGTGTATGACAATGAGAGATGAAAGAACATATTTATGCATATCCAAAAATATGACATTTGTAAATATGACCGTTATAAATATGACCATTAAAAAATTTAAATTTTAAAATTTTGAATTTCGTGATCATTGTAAATATGACTGTTATTAATAAAAATCAAAATTTTAAAATTTTGATGATGTGGTGTAACACGTCAGCATATGATGTCATCAATTTGGTGATGACATGACATACTATATTGTATTTTAGATTTTAATAATTAATAATTAGTTAAAGTTAGTTGAAGTTGTTAATTAAAATAGATAGTGTGGTTAAATAAAATATATAATATAATATTTAAATATATTTTAAACAGTTATTTTAGATAACATTGTTGAAGTTGCTCTAAGAATGACATTTTATTGAGGCCCTTGAAGTTGCTCTAAATAAAGATATGCATTACATAAGGGGTTAACCCTTGGCGTCGGTCCTGCCAAGCCTGCCAGTCCATGGTCACCCCTAATACGGGTACATTGTCTCGGAAACACTTAACCATGTCCTCTAAGAAAAGATAACTAAAATTGTAGAAATAGATGATTAGCAACAATAGAATGATAGATTATGTGTCTAAAGAAAAAATTGGGTATCATCGTATAAGATATAGGAAAATGTTCCAATTTGGTTGTGGCACTGCAACGCATAGCAAGGGTTGGAGCATTTTAATTCAACGATAACAATACGTAAACTTAGGTTGTTGACCTAATTGCCGATATCATTGGGTTGATAGCAGATGACAACAATATTCAAACCAACAGTAATGTTGGTTTAGATCACCAAATTAAGTATAAATAGTATTACTCTTAAGTTGAGGTACCACAAGACTAATGTATCACAAATACTAAGCTCCTAATGCAATTCACGAGGAAATCACTTCAAATTTTCCAACCAAAAAAAAAAAA